GAGCTGCTGGCTTTTCTCCGCGGAAGACCCCCACCTTCCAGCGCCCGGGCCCGAAGTCTATACATTTTTAAAATGTGCATATTCTTTGACGCAGGAATTCTACTTCTAGGAATTTATCCTAGAGACAGACTCACACACGTATTATATGTAAGATAATACGTGTCTGAAGCTCAGCAGCGTTTATAAATGGAAAGTGATAGGAAATATTAATAGCTTAATTGCCCATCAATAAAGGACTGGCTGCATAATGAAACAGTATGCAGCTGTCAAAATAGAGATGCAGCTTTGTATGTATGGCTACAGGAAAAATTTCTACTATTTCTGTAAAATCCCAGGGCAAAATTATATATAAATATTTGCTTCTACATACCTAAAATATCTCTGAAAGGCTGTATAAGAAATGAAGGCCGGGCATGGTGGCTTACACCTGGAATCCTAGCACTTTGGGATGAAGAGGGGAGCATATTACTTGAGCTCCGGAGTTCGAGACCAGCCTGGGCAACAAGGTAAAACCCCGTCTTTACTAAAAATACAAAAATTCTTCAGGCATGGTGGTGCATGCCTGTGGTCCCCAGCTACTTGGGGGGCTGAGGTGGGAGAATCTCTTGAGTCTGGGAGGTGGAGGTTGCAGTGAGCTGAGATCGTGCCACTGCACTCCAGCCTTGGTGACAGCACTCCAGCCTTGGCGACAGAGAGAGACCCTGTCTAGAAGAAAAAAAGAAATCAATACCTTTGGCTGTTTCTAGTGAATGAAATTAGGTGACTAGTGGTAGGAATAGATTGTATATTTTTATTTAACAAATTTTTATTTTGAAAACGTTTAAATATGCAAAAAACACAGAAAATAGACTAGTGCATATCCAGGATCCCTTAATCACAGTTCTGAAATCCATAAAATTCTAAAAACTCCAAATCTTTCCTCCATAAATTTGGCACTACAATCTATCTGAGGGGAAAACCTAAACTTCTTTATAGCCTTTAACTCATTTAAAGTAACTAATCATAAATCTCAAAGCAGAAATATTGAGGTGTTTGATATGCTCTGAAACTGCTGGAAGTTACATTATATACAGTGTATGCACATTATCTTTCTAAAATTGAAAAAAAAAACAAAAACCTGAATTTGGAAACACATCTGCTCCCAAAGGTTTGTGTATTTTTAACTTAAAGAAAAGATCACAAGATACAAATTTGGAAAAAGAGAGAAAAGACTGTATTTCTTCTTCAGGGTTACAGCCTGCCAGGTGGCCAAACTGCAGGCTGGGAAGCCTTCCTCCGGCCACATCCAGAGACAGGCACTTTGAAGGAGGAGGGGTTGAAGTGGAAGCTTTATACTGAATGAGTTGACCAAACATACATATTCAACAGGTTACTGAAGGAGCTATGAATATTCAGGAAGGGGCCATGACACATGCACATTGAACAAACATGCATGTTACATGTTCACTTTGAAGTGGAGACTTAACATTTGCATGTATTACAACTAGGCTGTATATGTCAAATGGTCACTTTAGGACAGGAGAGCACAGAAGTGCGCAATCTCTGTAAAAGGGCTAGAATCAGTCCATGATTGGTCTTATCAGGAGAAAGCTACTGAAAGCAGTCTCATGTCCAATCAAAGCTATAGTTACAGTTGATGGAAGAGGGTACAGTTAGTCAGCATCTAGTGTAGCTGCAAATTGTTTGAATATTGCTTATCTCAGGGCCAGTGCTTGTTTAGCTGCCAGAGAAAAAGGAAAACCTGTGTCAGTTAGAATATAGTTTCTTCTTTAAGTGAAAGGATGCGTGACTTAACCCTTCCCTGGCATGGACTTAGGTCCTGCTTATAATTTGGTATCTTATTGCCACAAAGAGTCTATTCTATCAGTCTAATGATCTCTATTTTAACTTTAATGCTGTTCAGTTGTGTCTAAACCACAAAAGGGAGGCGGGTATAATGAGTCGTCGTGTCTGACCTCTCACTCTGTCAGGGCTGGGAATTCAGTTTTTAAGTTTTTTCTGGTATCACTTTTGCCACAAGGGGTCTGTTTAGCTGGCCAGGGTTGGGGTGGGGATTGGATTTTATTTCTAGTTTACGTTATATAATGTGTAATGAACATCTATATACTTATCATTTAGATTTTATAATTGTTCATATTTTGTCATATTTAACTCCCCACCTTTCTTTCTCTCTGCTGAAGTATTTTAAATTAAA